TATATATATATTCTGTGCACTAAACTTAGATGTATGAAAGTGTATATATATCACACATTTTCAACTTAGAGTCACAGTAAAATTTACTATAGCTCCTTAAGCTACTAATTAAATTCATCCTAAAAACTATTTTCTTATTACTTTTCTCCTTAAACTCTTGTAAAAATTGTCTTGGGGTCCCTTACAATTGTTTGGCCACTAAATCTGGCGGATATCATTGGAACTGTATTTCTTCTCTAGAGAGAGAAGTTTATGCGAGCTGTATAGGAAGCCAGGAATATAAATAATATTTGAAGAAGAAAAATATAAAGAATTTCTATTTAAATAATTTTCAAGCTCTGTATCAGGATAAAAAGATTATGGCTTATTGAATACTGTACATATAGTATAATTAGGGGTGTACAAAGAAAACCGATAAACCGCACCAAACCGATAATCCGAGTCAAATCGAAAAAAAAAAAACGATGTGGTATGGTATTAGAAAATAAAACCCGACCATAATTGGTTTGATTTGGTTTTAACTAAAAAAGTCAAAACGAAACCAAACCAACCCGATAGTACATTTATATAATTTTTAAAAATATTTTATACATATAAATATTTATTGTAATATAATTTATAAATATTTCTTAAACTTTTTCACAGTTTTATCTTTTAACGTATTATTTCAAGTTTAGACTTAATATTCTTGAATGGTAAATAAATTTTAAAACCCATAAATGTAACTCAAACAAAGTTCAAATCAATAGTAATGCTAACAAAAAAAATTCAATTCAATACTAGGAATAACGATAGTGTTGAATAATTATTTTAGTTTTACATTGGTTTATAATAAAAATGCATAACTTAATTTATCTTTTTCTTTAGTGCTTAGTTATGTAATTAATATTAGTACTTATTAGGTATACTTATTTTAGCATGACATATATAGTATTATTAGATTATGTTAATTTTTATTATGGCTTATTAATTAGCAATATTTGTTTTATGTAATTTTATTATTTTTTCTTTGTTATTGAATATTTTAGTATAATGATATGACTTATCTTATATTATTGTGTTAGTTTTTTGAAAAATACATTATATAGTTGTATTTTACTAGGACTTAAGAAATATTTGGAGCACAAGTTACATATTTTATGATATGAAGACTTTACCGAAGAAAACCCCAAAACCCGAAAAACCCGAGAAAAACCGAGATTGGAAAACCCGACTTTGTTGGTTTGGTTTGGTTTATAAATTTAAAAATCCGACACTATTAATTTGATTTGATAATTAAAAAATCTGAATCAACCCGACATAGGTACACGTTACCCCCTAAGTGTAATAATGGAACACTTTTGAACTTGAATTTGAGCTATATATACACGTTGCTATCACGGGATTAATTTACTCTGTATCAGGGTCAACTTGATATAATGAGACAAAACATCAAGTTGAGGTCTTACCTTATACGTAAAGTGTACGTTGTAGCTAATTTTAAATTCACCAATAGATTTTCCCCGTTTTATTTTTACTTTTAAAATATTTATTATCTCTTATCTTCTCAACTGTGTACGAACAGAGTGAGCTAGAAGTCGAGCCAATTTATTTTCTTTCCTTACTCAAAATAATTTTTGAGTGTAGCAAAAGCAGCAATCAATTATTTTATACCGAATTCAACATAGGATGCTAATACTATGGTTTGCAATCCCCGAATAAAATAAAAACATTCTTGATTACCTCTTTCTTCTTTCTTATTTATTTCAAATTTCAAAAATAAGGGATAGAATCATAAACAAAACTTCATCCAACTTACAACTAAAACACATCTTTTTCATTATACACTATGTATTCCATTTTCAATATAAAGAATCAATCATTTGTCAAAAAGAAGTAACTGTTCACGGTTTTAATTTCAGTATTACGAGCCCATACTATAATCCCAACGTAAAACATTATCTACCAATCAAACGAGCCTAAGTGTTTTAGAAGAAAAAAGATAAACAAAAATATGTAGGTGATTTTTCTCTTCATTTATTCAAGTTTTAAGAAACAAAGTTATCTGGTAACATAGTAAATATTCCGAGAAATTAATCAAAATTACACAAGTTGACACTACGATTATAAATAATAATAAAAAAATAGACACCTAAGCCATGTTAAGGAAAAAAGTAGAAATTAGGACATTTAATTTCTGCGAATATCTCTCAAATTTTGCTTGACATGATGGCAATTCATGCATTTGGACCATTTGGGTTTTGGAGTTTTTGCTGGACCCGCAGTCTTAAACCCGACCCGATATGAAGTCCTGAAGGCGACTTAAGTTAGTGACGCCAGCCATTGGCACACGTATGACGTCATAAGAACACAGCCATTTTCCTTCTGCCACATGGCAGTAGATTAACGTACTGATAGTTCACGCTCTTTCAAAGAGGGTGACTAACACTCTACAAAGATTTTATTTTCACCTTTTTGAGTCTATATACTGATCTTCGTTTTAACTTGTGTTTTACTAATTTCATTTTCAGTATGTTTTAAATGAATGTTACTTTGTTAAATTTAGTATATTTTTAATTCTAATAGTAATTCTTTTAAGATATGATAAGATTCAAATTAAGGATATTTTTGACATATTATACATATTTAATTTAACAGCTTGTTTTGATGGTTATTACTGATATTTTATATTTTAATTGCCCAAAAATTAAAGCAAATTTCAATTTGGAAACAACTTTTACCTATCACTTGAGCTTTGTTCATTACATACCAGACTTTCTAAAAGTTACTTACTAAATCTTAAAGTATGAAATGAAAAATAAATTATACAAATCACATATTTTCTAGATCGAGGCATGAGCTAATGTATCACAAGTGTAATAGTTGACTTTCTTTCTATTCTTTAGCTCAACTAGTCTGACAAGTTACATTTTCATATGTACCCCAACTTTGCTTATCAGATTCAAGTTACAAAAATGGAGAATTTTTATGGTAGAGAATACGCTTTACACTCGCAGATGGTTAAGCCACAAAAAAAAAACACTCTATTTATCTCATTTATATGACACATTTTTTTTAGTTTGTCCAAAATAGGATGGTACATTTATATACTTAGAAATAATTTAACTTTAAATTTTTTATATTATCTTTAATGATATGATATATAGGTTTATAGTTATGTAAATGTCTATGACTTTCTACGGAAAATTTTAAAGTATTTCTTTTGTTATATACTATATTAACAACACAAAAACCCTTAGCGAAATATCGTTCGTTTTTTTATCTTTGAAAAATAAGTTTCACATTAATGTACAAAATCGAAATTAAATAATTTTTCTAATATTTAAGAATAAACATTTAATATGTGGCTAATATTTAGGATTTATTTACGTTCTTTTTAGGTTTAGAAGTCCTTTTTTCTCTCATAAAAAAAATACTTATGGAGTAGTTTGTAATTTCAAATTTAAAGATCTTGAATATAAATTTTAATATAGCGTATGTTTCCTTATTAGCTTTTCTTAAACTCCTAAATTATCGAATATTTTTAGTATTTTCATACAAATACTAAAACAAGTTATTTAGCAAATAATCATGTGAAGACATATTATAGAATAAATCGTAAATATAAAATTAAGCTAAACACTTAAAAAATAACCAAAGTTTTTAAATTCTAGATAAGCTAATATTAAGAATTTCTATCAACAAAAACATATTTCCTTATTATGAAACAAGCGAAGCAACTAAAACTTTGATTACCAAGCTTTTTCTTATTGAAATATGTAAGAACACCTAATATTTAACACTTTAAAATCAAGTAAAATTTTAGCTTATATAAATTATTTCTTTATTTCAATTATATAATATAATTATAATTCCTTCAGAGCCAAAGAAAATAAGCTCCTTCTTGTCGAGAAATCATAAGAAATTTATGGGTGCAGGTAACATTTTCTTAATTGCCTTCCCACACAGATCATAATTGAAGCATACAATTTTCTATAGTAGTTAGCAACAAAGATAACCAGTAATATGAGTTTTAAATTTTTTTGACAAAGCAAATAATTATACTAGAGAGGCACACGTGGTTACTATCCATTTAACTAAATGAGGTCAACACCATAATTTTTAGAAATATATACTTTTTTTATTTGATTTTAAAGTTGCATCTCGATCACAATATTTCAGTATAATATTTATGTAACTTTTTAAAATAATTATATTTAGAAATACCAGACTATAGTTGAGTTATATATCCAGTCAAATATTGAATTAATGTCTTTATGTTGTGCATATAACGCGCTATTGAATGAGCTTTGGGGGGATTTTAGTTTTGCTCTCTCTTTCTCTATCTACAGCTAATTCGGTGTCCATTCACTATCTTTCATTGCAACATCCACTTGGCCCCTTTCCATTTCTTCAACTCCATTTTCCTTTCCTTTCCTTTCCTTTCCTTTCCATGTTCCATCCCCTTTTTCCTTTCGTGGAAACCCACTTTCCATTTCCCTAGGAATCAAATCCAAACCCATAACCCTTTTCAACTTTTGAGTACTCTTCTCAACAAACATTCAATGGACAAAATGCTAAGTGTGCATTCAAAAAAGGGAAACAAACAGTCTAAAAAACCAGTGAAAGTAGTGTATATTGCAAACCCTATGAAGGTGAACACTAGTGCTGCAGAATTCAGAGCTTTAGTCCAAGAACTCACTGGCCAAGATGCTAAGTACCCGATGATCGAAAGTAGTGTCGGTAGTAGGGGCACGGAATGCGACAAAAATGGTAAATTCAAAAAGGGGTTTTATTTATCAGAGTCGCTACCTGACAAAGATCTTCAAGTTGTTCATGCAGTGGATGGAGTAGCTCCTAATAGTGAAGCAGCAATGACCGATAATTCGGATCTTTCCTTCGAGGATTATGGTGTTGGAGGAGAAGATTTTGTGCCAGAGTTGCTGGACAATTTGCCAGGGTTAATGGCTTCAAACTTGTGGTATGACTAAATGAAACTTAGTTTGTTTGTTCTAGTTACAAAAAAAAACTAGAAGGTCAAATAGCTATAGTTCTTCGCTATGTCTCTCTCTCTATATATGTAGTACTTAAATAATTAGGTGATATATATGCAAGTAGCTCTAGCCATGTCCAACTTGCTTGATACTACTTTTGTATTTAGCGGCTAGCTACTCCTGCAACTTGGAGATAAAAGTCATTGGTTCAGTACTAACTGTACAACTCATTCAAGATCTACCTTAAGTTAGCAAAAACTAAAGGTTTGTTTTAATGTAATAAACGTCAACATTTCTGGAGTAGCTAAGAATAAAATTTCATTTCTTTTGGGGGAGAATAAACGAATACTCTCTTTCTTTTTATTGGTTTCTTTCTTCAATCCATCTTGTGTTGGAATGGGCTGGAGATTATCATAGAAGAGGCTATTAGCCTGCAGGAACTATCAAACTATATAAACTTGCTGAGAAACTTGAGAAGGGCGGCCCGGTTCACTAAGCTTTCACCTATGCGCGGGTCCGGAAAAGGGTCGTCGGACCATAAGGGATCTACCGTACGCACCCGTGACCTCCTGGCCCGTAACTGGTACCAGTTGCAGAGAAACTTGAGAAGAAAGAAAGAATAGAACCTCTAAAGAAGAATGTTTAATTTTAGCAAGGATATATTGAGGCTTTTCCCAAATTCATGTGTGCTGTTTGTTTCATTTTTCTGCTTACTAAAAGTTATAGTAAAGAAATCTGTTTTAATGAATGTTAGATATATTCACATAACAAATTAATCAGTGAAAAGAGAAATTGTATTAACACAACAAAATGATTTCTTGAATCAGAAAGTTTAAACTGAGAATTTCTAGTTTCTGCTTTGATATTAACAGAAAGAACTTCGTTAATGTAGCTACTAATTGAATCTAATTCATTATATATAGTATAAAACATAGATTGGTTGCTAACTTGCTGTTCAATTCCCTTTAGCTTATTACTTTGCTAATCATTTAGTTCAATTTGAAGTAAGATTTCCTAAAAATGGATTCTATTGTTAGATAGGTTTGAGGTCTAAATCATTATGTTAGAGTGCTAGAAATATGAATTCTCATGGTCCTCGAAGGAAAATAACTTTAACTATATTTGGTGTTTTCCAGTGTAGGCCGTAGGGTTATTCAATTTTCAGCAAAGGTGTGCTGAAGGGGTTTGAGTAGGAGTAGGACCAAATCATTTCTGGCCCTCAAAAATAATGAAGTTTATATATTTAGTGTCACTCTTACTCTCCTATATATGGTGCACAGGATACATTGAGACTTTAATTATAAAAAAGTTAAGCAGATTATAAAATGGAATAATCAAGATTATTCATAAAGATTCAATGCATTTACTGCATAATTTTCTTCATATATCATTTTACTTTTCCTTGTTATTACTCGTCGCTTGAGTTTAATAAATGTTATTATTGCGAGTGAACTATGTCTAGTGAGGCTGTGACCAAGAAACTAACAGCTTTGTTTATTTTCTTAATAATAATCAATCAAATGAAAAGATTAGTAACAACAAATTTGTGAAAGCTTACGGTCTACTTGTTACAATTTTATCATACTCTATTAATATGCAGGGGAAAAACCCTATTTACTCAATGTCTCTAATGAGTATAGACTGATCATGGAAATTTATATTCTTTAAATTCAGCCAGTGTAAGAGTTTCAGTCTATTGTGAAACTGCAACAACCCCNTTGTAGCGTTTGGGAATGAAAAGGCTCAGGCTCTAATTAAGACCATGTTTGGAATTGGATTTAGGTGTAATTGGGTATAATTACACAGTTTGACATGTTTGTCTAATCAGGTAATTACTTGATTGACAAGGAATTGGGTATAATTGAAGGATGCAATAATACTCTCCAATTCTCAAAGGAGAGGTGAGAATTGGTGGTAACTATATTATGTAATTATAAGTTAATATAACTTTTAATTTGTTTTATTTTTTTTTTTTCAAATATATTAAGTACTACTATTATATTTGAACCGTTTCTCTTCCATTTCTCTTATCCTCCTTTTCCAACGTTCCAATGTGTTGCTTATGGTGTGCTTCCATATAATTTTGTAACTTCTCATATTTTAGTTCTTTCTTTTTATTGTTCTTTATTTTTCTTAGTTGATAAATACAATTTCCAATTTTACTAGATTTATTTTCTATTGTATAAATAATTATAAAAAATACATTCTAAACTCATATCTATCTTTTATTATTTAAATTATACAATAAATCATAAATTTTTATATTTATATGAGTTGGTAAAAAGGGTAAAATTCGTAATTAAAGCTTTTATTAATTATTTTAAATTAATATATTAATAATTTGAAAGATAGTCAAGATATCAATTTTTCTTTACTATATTAGACCAACTTATAATTAATTAATACTTTTATTTTAAAGAAGAAATTGTAATTTAAATACATATACAAATATCACACATCAAAATTTACTTTTTGTATTTACTAGTTTTATTTTATAATCATTAGTATAAATATTTTGCTATAAAAAATATATTCTCATATTCACATGACTTGGTGAAAAAATTAAAGTCGTTATTGAAATTATTATTAATTTACTTAAGCAATAATATTATATATTTGTAAGATACCAATTATTTTTACGATATTATTTATCAACTTATAATTATTATATATATTTTTACAGGAAAATATTGATTTTAAATGCCTCTTAATCAGTTAATTTTTTATATTTATTATTCATATATTAATATAATTTTTTTAGTTTAACTATGTAATTATATTTGTTCAATCAAATATGACAGTAAAAATTAATAAATAAGTTATTGTAATTACTATAATATATAATTACCAAGTTATGTAATTACTACCCTAGTAATTATACTATCCGAGTATCAGGTAATTACTCATGGTTTTTCAAACAGTTTTTTGATAACTTAATGATGGTCACGTTTAACTATTAAGGCACAAAGAGATTGATCAGAAGTTACTGCTGCTGCATGCCCCAAATATAGCGATAACTTTATAGTCTTTTGGAATAAAATAAGTTCGTTGGCCAAGTTTAACAATATTAATGGTATAGTTACTTTAATTTGTAAAGAAGATAGAAAGAAATAATGATAGATGCTGGCCTTTTAACAGTTTTTTGTGGGCAAGCAGTGAGACATGAGAGAGACATCCATTTACAGCGCTTTGTCGCTGCAACTTGCAACATGTGCATGCACCCAAGTAAATGAGATTATTAGTTAAAAGAAAGAATACATATATTATGAATTATAATAGTTTGGTATGTAGTAAGTTTGGAGGTATCACGGTCCTAACAAGTACATCTCGCGTATTATTCATTTTTAGCCCAATAACACTCACTGGTTTGCTTTAATTTTTCGACTATGCCTATCATCAAGTGTGTATACTATGTGAACGTATATTATATTTTATATAATATTCACACTTTACTCCCTTTTTCCGATATGAGAACTCCTAAGGTTTTATTACATATAATATGCATCCTGTCTTCTAAAATTTACAATCCTAATTAAAAACCTATCGGTCCTTCTCGTTGACTTGCCTTTCGTCACGGGCATCACTGCCCGATTATTCTCAAGTTGATAACAGAAAGTCTTAGTAGCTATATAGGTTTAATTAGCTAGGGTTCATTCCGTATTTTCAAACACTGTGGAGTATATCTTAGAAAATTCTGTTTTAGTAAAATAATTACTATAAACTTGAACTCATAGCTTAGCTTTAACAAGAATTACAATTGATTTTTGTTTATCCGAAAAATCGGATATAGTTGAATTTATAAGTAGTTCTAAGGATATGTGATATAGCTTGACATAAATCGTGCGTAGAAGTGGAAATGTTTAGATTCTTGGCTATAGAAACGGGATATAAATTATTGAACAAGAAGAGGGAGTATGCTGAGTAAAACAAGCTCAAGAGATTTATTCTTCAATAAATAGTAGTCTTTTCTTATAATGTGTCCCCCTGTGCTTATAAGGATTCCCCCCTTTATAGTAGAGGGATTTTATTTTATTTATAATAAAAAATATATAGTGGAGAACCCATAATGAATTGTCTCTTCCTCGATTCCTGCCAAGATTCTCTCCCCAAGTGTGGTTGCAACGGCTTCTGTTTGCGAGCTCGATACTGGCTCGAGCTCGATATTGGGTCGAGCCCTCGGCCTTGGTTTGAGTTCGACATTCGGGGTGAGTGTCAATCGGTATGTGCATCTCCGACAACCTTCACATTGCCTTGCGGTTGGATTTGGTTATGGGTTTGATAATGATATCGAGCCGATTCCTCGATCGGTCTTGGAGCTCGAGGCTTGTTTGTACTTTCCTCGGAACTCGTCTCGAGCTCTCACTTCGATCGCTTACCATTCAAACTCGATCAAACGTATGGAGGCCGAAATCTATTTCGACCGTATACAGATAGTCTCCTCATTTCTCAGGAAGAATGTGGTGAGAAGCGATATGATTTTCGACGGCCCGATCGGATTATAAGCTGACATTTTCATTGGGCTCGATCATGATGTATGTGATAGTTGTCCCATCGATTTAGTCTTCTGGCTCTACAAGCGGCGAAATAGAGGCAGAAAGAGTAAGAAATTTTGGAAGATTGAAGATGTTTGGGAGATTGAAGATGTAAAAGTGGTAAATGATAAATGGAAGGGTTATTTATAGGTTTATACCATGGCGGTTCAGTATCAGCGATGGCCGACCACAGTTTGACGTGCATTAAATTCCATTTATCCTTTGTTTTTCTTTCTCTTACATCAATGGCAAAAACTTCAAAAGTCGTACCTCAGAAGGAGAAAGCTTCCTCTTCACGGCCGTCCGGCGACTAGGCGTCGGTGGAGCCGCCTCCCCACGAGTACGTTCTTGGCCCATGTACTCTGAAGATCGATTTTAAGGTTGAAAATCCTTCATCGGTTCGGGGTCGATGTGAGCATATGTCGATGTACATGTGCTCGATAATAGAGGGCCATCTCGAGGCTGTGAGGAAAGACTGCAACTAGGGTCCCGAGGTTGTGTTGCAAATTCCCTCTCCCGTAGAGAGCGTCATCACTCATGTGGAGGGGGTTTTAAGTGTTTATACTTACCCCTTCACGTTGGGTCCCGTCGACCCAGTGATCACTGATTTTTGCCACCCTTGGTCAAATTCATCCATCTCTATGGCGCATAGTAACCTTACTTTTCTTCTTCTCCAACAAGGCCGGGGGGCTGGATTTTACCTTAAATCACCTCATACGATTGTATCGCCCTCGAATCTTTTGAGGACTAATCAGGCTTCATCGTCGGGCATCAAAAGCTTTAATGTCGAGCATCGATGAAGACAAGGATTGGGGTTGGATGGGCCGTT